CACTAAAGTACAAACTCTCGGCGCAAAATGTGCACGTTGTAGCATTGCTGTATGCTTGGCCATGCGTCGTCTATGGAGCCAGTACATGAGTCTAGCTTTAACACAGGCTAGATCTAGTTGCATCAGAGGGCTAGCAGTTTATAGAACAATTGCTCAGGTGTTTTCAGAGGTTCTCACATTTGCTTTATTCAATCTATCCGCTCTTCTGGGTTTTAATGCATTGCCAGACTCTGCTTTGGAGGAATGGCCACATCCACAAACTGCTCGTCTCACGTGAACTGTTATGCATATTGCGGACATGCCTTGCTCAACTTGTTACATTTGGAACAAAGAAAAGAGTGATTGAAACTGACAGAGGAGAGACAAGACGAGAACTTGCGAGAACCCAAGGACAGACCACGTACAGTAACCCTCGCGCGCTGCGGGTTAATAGTTCAGAAAACATATACCACTGACTAAACCCAGTGCATAATAATGCAAGCTTGTTGAAATTCTGCCAGCTAGTTAGACTACGGCGGGTCCAGTCACTATAAAAGTTAGGAATAAATGAGGCAACTGTCCCAGCTACGTTTGAATTCACATTAATTCCTCAGCCCTAGCTAGCCTTGTAATTATTCTGTAAGTACAAATCATTGTGAGACACCTTCCCTTGCAAGATCAACTTACGTCCAGCTCATTCACCAGCTCATTAAACTCACTTTGACTTTTGTATCTGCACCAAAATATGGACACATCAAATTTCACACAATGGATCAATTACTCAGAACTGTCGTTTGGGAAGTACGACTTGCATTAGTGAGGCATCAACACCATTATAGCTCTTGTATGGTACAACCTGATTTAGGTGATTGTGCTTCACTACATTCAAGAGATTGGAGCAGGGTGGAGAAGTATATATGTAGAGAGAGCAATGATTAGTACTGACAGAGGATTGAGAAAACGCAAAACTTACGACTGTTTCCTGTACTTCCAGCACAAGAAAAGACAATGATGATAATCAGTGTAGCAAGCAAACCGGTAATCACGCACCTAGAAAGAATCTGCAACTTGACCGGTGGTAGCCCCAGCACCTCCATTATCGTCACCAGTTTGTCTCTCAGACTGCGGGTCTTAGGGTCAATGCCAGTTTCGTTTGTTATGGGTTGGGTGGTAATCTTCAGTAGATGGCTTGCTGGTGTCGCTAGTAACAGGCTTGTTTGTTGTCTCAGTTGTTGTAGTATTGTCAGTTGTCACAGTACTACCACCAGTTGTCACAGTAGTACCATCTGTTGGTGTCTGAGCCACCTGCCAGTCGGCCATGGATGTTCTCAAGAGTAGGATCACAGGTGGGGTCCAAATAGTACCGCAGTCTGTCTATCTGGACTAGCCTTTGTTGGTCTGACCAGGCTCCCCATGATGGCCACCATCTCAGTTTGCACTCCGTGAGGAAGTCCCCGTGATCCTGGCTCTGTAGGTGATGGTGTTGGGTGGGCCTGTTCGGCAACTGAAACTCTCCCTGGCTTCAGCTGGGGCTGACACTGGCAGAGTAGCAACATACTCTGCTGTAGAGACTTCTGTATCTGGCTCAGCTTGCCCTCTGTATCTTCAGCCTGAGAAACATGAGGCATTCAACATGGCTTCATGGCTTTCTTTATCAGTGACCAGACAAAAGTTAATGCGCACTATAGTTATAGCCCAACTTCATGTTATCCATGGCCTTTACTACGAAGGCAATAGCACTATCGGAATAGGGGAATAAAATTGTCACGTTGCCACAAAAGTTTGAGCTGACTCTCTTCCTTCCTACAACCATTCGTCCTTTAAGTTTCCCTTGTGTTGTGATAATATTAGTACATCAAGTCCAGCGTGCAATTTTTTCTTCATTTCCCATGCCACCACCTATGTGTTAGTGGCGTTGTGGTGCAGATACACTCTCAAACTGACTAGATTGCTTATTAACGGCTTTTTTCTCTTGTTTCAAGAATATCTCTCAAATGCAGTCGATCTCAGAAAATATGACGTTTTCATTTTTAAAGGTTTGCATAGTTCGAAGCTTGTAATAGGCCGGCTCATAGCCTGTGCAGGTAAACGAACAAGCTGACGACAAATCAGACAGACACCACCTAGTACAGTAACCATCACTGCACATGGCACAAGGGTAAAATGGTACCCGGCATGTATAGTATCCCTTTAACATCCTTTGCAAGGGCTACTCAAAAAATAGCTTGTAGGCCTCTGAGGTGCATTATTTTATTTAAGGGGTTTCACAATCGGCTAGAGTATAGAAGCTATGCTATGTGCTTGATCAGCACGCGGGAACGTAGAGATTGTCGGAAGGCATATTTGCCTGTTATGATCGATTCAGCGGAATGTGTATACTTACCACGCGGTTCCCACTGCTCACAGTTGGCACATTGCCTGTGTGGATGAGGCCACTTGAAAGTAAGCCAGCTTTACCTGGATGGATTAATAATGAGATACAATCAATGCACAGTAGAAGAATATGTGCACAAGGAATACAGAGGACTACGTGAGTACACATGCCCAGAGGTATCATACCGCTAAAGAGTGTATTCATCATAAAAGGTTCAATGACGCACATGTGCAAGCATAGTAACACAGTATATCACCCACAGTATACGTATGCAGTGTCATGACTCTGAGCAAAGGCTAGCTACTCATTCTAGGATCTCGGTTTAGTGATTACTGTCACTTAAGATTGGCTTCTGGAACCAGACATATGTGCCTCAAGTTCGACTGATACCACTTGCATATTGTCTGCTTCTTGTTGCACTTATGGTCATGCACTCACATGAACCACCAAGTGTATATAGTATGACACACTCACGACGTGCTGACGTTGTACAGACACTGGTTACTCATTGCCATGAGCATATGAGCTAGTATACAAATCATACGACATCCACAATGTTATTCTTATTGCACGTATGGTCACACACTCGCACACTAAACTATAGACATGGGTGTACTCACTGGCTGTTAAAATCTACTACATCTGGCCTACATGCATCGATATGCAGATGTTAGCGTCTGTCTACATTACGCATTGTGATTGTCGAGAGGAGCGGAGAACAAGAGCTAACCTAGTGGTCCGAACAGCGCAATTTTTCTAATATATACATGTCACCGTACGTCTCCAGCATTTTAATTACGCGTTTCTTTTTATCCGAAACGTTGCTACCTAGCTTTATCCTCGATGCGCATCTAGCCAGTGAGCCATTCGACGGCATTCGCTGCGCTCTTCGGTGCCTGACCGAGGCTGTGCCTCTTTCCAATCTTCGTGGTTCGAAGTTACAAATTGTAAAGAGGCTAGAATGGCTCGTGCAGATGCAATCAATGTGTGCTCACTCCAGCTTGCCAATAATGCCCTGCATTCACCTACTAGTATTGATGTGCACTCACATGAACCACAAAGGTAAAATATGCACACACTCACACACTAAACTACAGACATGGGTGTACTCAGTGACTGATAAGTATACACATCTACCTTCATTCCATTGTATACTCAGATTTTAGTGTCTAAACTAGGGTAACAGTGAATCACGAAAAACCAAGTGTGACTGTCCCTTGATGTGCATTGATGAATTATAGTACAGGGAAGCAAACCCACACGTTACCTAAGTGATTCAATATACAACTTTTCTTGCACAAATTCACATAAGCTTTAATGAAAATTCACTATCTACAAACTCTACACACTCTCTTACATCCAACCACAATTCTATTGCACAGATTGGGTGAAAAGGTTTCACATGCATAGTGATGGAGAGTTTCAACCCAAAGGGAGTTGGGAGGCTAGCATTTGCACAAGCACTTTGCCCCATGTATTGATGGTCACATGAAAAGGTGGTTGTTACCCCTGCTTTAGGGTACATACGTTATGCGTACCTCCAGTTTCACTACTGGTGGTGACAGTACTAGTGACCTCCGCTCCACTCTGGCCGTCCTCTGTAACCACGTTAACTCTGAATACGTAAGCAGTGGAGGGAGTGAGGGGAGAGAAGATGATGGTAGTGTTATCTGCTGTCTTCCATCCCTGCTCCCGGAAACTGGTGAATACCCCACTGGGGGAAATCCACTCCACCAGCACCAGAGTAAGAAACCTTTGAAGATGAAGTATCGGAATGTTTATGTGAACCCTGTCTGCCCTTTGGGGTAGTATAGAAGTGTTTATAAAAAGCACAAGAACCCTGTCTGCCCTTTGGGGTGGATTCAATTAATAGTAAAAGGAACATCATAGACTGCAGACTGCCTTTGACTTCAACCACACCATCCAGATTTTGTAGAGTATGTTACTTATTCGCTCTTTATAATACCTCAGTATAATAATTATTTACCAAACCCTTCATGAGCTGCGCCTGTGTATGCACATGCACATACGTAGGCATGAAAACTTACATTGTAGAATGTCTTCTCATCCAGCTGAAGATCTTCAGCCAGTTCCCACTGCAGTGTAACACTTGTGTTAGTTGAGGAGGCACGGACATTAACCGGCTGAGGTAGACCTGCACATATTTACAATACTACTAAGGCTACTGTATAGCAAGAGTCATACACGCAGCTTGCTTGCAAGAGTGATACACAAGAATGAAGAATAATAGTGTGAGCCAGAGTACATACATCGCCCGGCGGCCACTTGCTCAACAATAGGATTTTATTACCAGAGTGAAAATGTGACCCTATTTGCAGTTTGAGGTGTGTATATAATTATATTGCATGTGTGAAAGGTCCTGGCAAAACTGCTCTGTGCCAACGATGTTGTGTGTGTTAGGAAAGATAGCAAGGCTACAAAAGGAGTAGGATGTTCATGCCCACACAGGGATGTCCGCTGGTGTGAGGCATATATGCACATTCCACATATTTGTGTAATTAGTACCACCACTTGCATGATGGTTGGTATAATACATTAAGTTGCCTTCTGCAGTTTGGTTGAAAGAACTGTTCTAGTTATACTGACATGATGATGCAAAATACACACACTTCTAGACTATGAGGCAATTGTCGGTGAACAAAAAATCTATTTTTTTCAGAAAGTGGACCGTTTATGCCTCTTTAACAGTTGTTGCAGTTGTTCTAGTATTGTCAGTTGTCACAGTACTATATACCATCCGTTGGTGTTTCAGCCACCAGGCAGTCTGGGCCATGGATGTTCTCAAGAGTAGGATCACAGGTGGGGTCCAAATAGTACCGCAGTCTGTCTATCTGGACTGAGCCTTTGTTGGTCTGGACCCAGGCTCCCATGATGGCCACCACCTCAGTTGCACTCCGTGAGGAAGTCCCCGTTATCCTGGCTCTGTAGGTGACGGTGTTGGGTGGGCCTGTTCGGCAACTGAACTCTCTCTGGCTCAGCTGGGGCTGACACTGGCAGAGTAGCAACATACTCTGCTGTAGGGACTTCTGTATCTGGCTCAGCTTGCCCTCTGTATCTTCAGCCTGAGAACATGAGGCATTCAACATGGCTTCATGGCTTTCTTTATCAGTGACCAGACAAAAGTTAATGAGCACTATAGTTATAGCCCCACTTCATGTTATCCATGGAATAAACTATACTCTACCTTTACTACGAAGGATAAAATACAATAGCACTATCGGAATAATGGGAATAAAATTGTCACGTTGCACAAAAGTTTGAGCTGAATCTATTCCTTCCTACAACCATTCGTGCTTTAAGTTCCCTTGTGTTGTGATAATTAGTATATACGTACATCAAGTCCAGCTTGCAATTTTAATTTTCATTTCCCATACCTCGCCTATGTTTTAGTGCGTGTGGCACAGATACACTCTCAATCTGACTAGATTGCTATGAGTATATCGGCTTTTTTGCTTGTTTTCACAGCATAATATCTCTCAAATGCAGTTGTTTCAGGAAAATCAACATTTTCATTTTTAAAGGGTTTGCATAGGTTATAGGCCGCCTCGTAGCCTGTAGTGCGAGAATGGCTGACGACAATCAGACAGACACACCAAGTACTGTAACCCTCGCTGCACATGTGCACCGAGTGTTAATCTGTACCTGCATTTAATAATAGCCTTAAGTTGGAAAAACATCCTTTGCAGGGCTCTCAAAATTTGAGATGCTTTTAAAAAAAGCTGTAGGGCTCTGAGGTTCATTACTCTTACGGGTTTCACAATCTGAGCTAGAGTATAAAGCTAATGCATGTGCTTCATCAGTACACGGAAAGTAGAGAGTGTCTGGATGACACATTCAGGGAATGTGTATACTTACCACCCACTGCTCACAGTTGGCATTGCCTGTCTGGATGCGCACTTGAAAGTAAGCCAGCTTTCCTGGATGTTAATGACAAATAATCAATGCACAGTAGAAAAATATGCACATGAATACCATAGGACTATGTTAATACACATGCTCAGAGGTATATACCGCTAAGTGGTATCATAATAGGTTCAACTCACATGTGCAGCAAGTAACACAGTATTCACCACAGTTTTTAGTCTCAGTGTCTGACTCTGAGAAAGGCTAGCTACATCAATAATTATTCATAGATGTCCACTTAATATTGGTTTCTGGACACCCTATCTCTTGCCATCATAGTATAATTATTATGCTACATACTGAAACCACTGCAATTTGTCTGCTCCCTTGTTGCACTTATGATAATGTAATGCACTCATGAACCACAAGGGTATAGTATGCACACACTCACACACTCTCTGACCAAACTTCCTGGTGTACAGACATGGGGTACTCATTGACTGATAAGCAATCATAGTATACACATCCACCTACATTCCATTGCATACACACAGATATTAGTGTCCTTCAGCCTGTCTACAATTGACATGCACTCACATGAACCACAATGGTATAGCCAAAGTACGTTCGCGCTGAGAATGCACCTTGAAAATCTAGAATAACTTCCGATTCCAGCACCGTATGCGGCTACGCTTGGTATCACAATGTATATAGCGCTTCACATTCCATCGCATACTCAGATTTTAGTGTCTGTCTACATTCCATTGCTAAACTAGGGGAACAGTGAATCACATATGAATGAAAAACCAAGTCTGTGACTGTCCCTTGATGTGCATGGATGTATTATTGTGCAGGGAAGCAAACCCACACGTTACCTAAGTGACTCAATATACAACTTTTCTTGCACAAATTCACATAAGCTTTCCAAATGAAATCACTATCTATATACAAACTCTACACACTCTCTTACATCCAACCACAATTCTATTGTATACAGATTGGATGAAAAAGTTTCACATACGTAGTGATGGAGAGTTTCAACCCAAAGGGAGTTGGGAGGCTAGCATTTGCACAAGCACTTTGCCCCATGTATTGATGGTCACATGAAAAAGTGGTTGTTACTCCTGCTTTAGGGTACATATATTATGCATACCTCCAGTTTCACTGCTGGTGGTGACAGTACTAGTGACCTCCGTTCCACTCTGGCCATCCTCTGTAACTACGCTAACTCTGAATACGTACGCAGTGGAGGGAGTGAGGGGAGAGAAGATGACGGTAGTGTTATCTGTTGTCTTCCATCCCTGCTCCCGGAAACTGGTGAACACCCCACTGGGGGAAATCCACTCCACCATACCAGAGTAAGAAACCTTTGAAGATAAAGTATCGGAATGTTTATGTGAACCCTGTCTGCCCTTTGGGGTGGATTCAATAGTATAGGAAGTGTTTATAAAAAGCACAAGAACCCTGTCTGCCCTTTGGGGGTGGATTCATGCAGAGTATGTTACTTATTCACTCTTTATAATACCTCGGTATAATATTTACCTAACCCTGTATGAGCTGTGCCTGTGTATGCACATGCACATAGGCATGAAAACTTACGTTGTAGAATGTCTTCTCATCCAGCTGAAGGTCTTCAGGCAGTTCCCACTGCAGTGTAACACTTGTGTTAGTTGAGGAGGCACGGACATTCACCGGCTGAGGTAGACCTGCACACATTTACAATACTACTAAGGCTCTAGCTTACTGTATAGCAAGAGCGATACACAAGAATGTAGGATATAGTGTGAGCCAGGGTACATTACATCGCCCGGCGGCCACAAAAGGCTTTATTATTTTTTTGAGTTGAAAATGTCAAACTACTTGCTGTTTGGGGTGTGCATATGTGAGGGGGCATGGGAAAAAGGACCTATATGGCTGGAATGTGAAAATTAAGTTTTGTTGTTTTTCACCCTGTTTTTCACATTCCAGCCAAATAGGTCCCTTTTCCCATGCCCTCTCACATATAATATAGTACATGTGTGAAAGTGCTGGCAAACTGCTCTGTGCCAACGATGTTGTGCGTGTTAGGAAAGATAGCAAGGCTACAAACTGAGTACAGGGACCTGAAAGAGTAGGATGTTCATATGGACACATGGATGTCACTGGCATGAGGCATGATACACATTCCACAAATAGTGTAATTAGTACCGCCACTGTGATGGTTGGTATAATACTTCTTTTAAGCAGTTTGAATTCTTCTAATAATGCCTACATGGGTGATGCTTTTAGAACTGGCACCAAGGCCAAATTTAAAGTAACATTGATAATTAATGCCTAGACTTATGGGAAAGCACTCTTACTCCTACCTGGCAACCAAAACTGCATAATCGAAGGATCCCCATATTTTATTGTACACGCAGTGGTCATTACATAATATATGCAGTTGCTGCTAGTCAAGAATCTGAGCTCTCCTAGTGACCAGCAAGATGGTACATCAGACATACGACTGGGCTAATGACACTGAGACAGTGGACCTGTCCCTGAAAATGAGCTCTGAGTAAAGTTCTGTGCAGTGCCAAATTTAAACAGGGCAGTGGTACTGCACTAGTTCTCTGCTATACATAATGATATACGTAATATCAGGCTTCTATTGATTTGTGACCCTGATATGCACAGCTGCTGTCTCCTACTAATATGCTAATACCGGTTGTATGTAGAAGATGTGATATTTTTTAGAAGTGCTTAAGACAGAAAGGAAAATGCCGATTTATGTAGTTGCAGCTAACCATTTGAGGTCGGTTAAAATTCCAAGAGGCAATACCACAGTCATTACCCTTTTGTGCCATTTACATTAATATATGCACAGAGCCTCCATAAGTGCATAAGAATTTATATGGCGTAATACTAGGCGCTAATATGTTATACATCATTTCTGCTTATTTAAGGAGACACCTATGGCGCCAGAGTTAACATTATAATCCTCATAAATGCCTATAACCCCACACATACCCGTAGCGCCTCATATATACACAGTACACATGTCACCCTCTACCAACAATCATTTCAGTCACAAAGAGGCTCAATTACCTGGCTCAGGTACAAGAGAGTAGTCTGTGGGGAGTAGGGAGAGAGGCGCCCTCTACTCTGCGTCCGTTGATAATAACCACTGCACTCATCTGGAAGTGGTAGATGACTTCTGTCACACTCAGCCTCATGCACCCTGACCTCTGGCTCCCAGGGAATAACTGCAGGAAAAAGCACACAAGTCCAAACCCTCAGCGCAAGAAATGCACACACGTAGCGTTTATGTGCACTTAATGCATGAACTTTTAATAATTGATGGGCCAGGCTACACCACGCCACGTGGTTGACAGAGCCAGTTTCGTCTTTGCTGTATGTAGCTGCATCAGTGAGTATCACATGCACTACAGGGTGGTTTCATGATTTCATTTGGGGTTTTCCCTATGCAGAGACACAAGGCTTATAGTATACTTCCTGTGGGCTGGCTACCTATACATAGGAGGGTAGTCAAGGAACATAAAAGGAAATCCTCATGTACACTCTACTTCCTTGGGATGTCCCTCTTGTTGTATCCAACATTCCCGCTTACCATATAGGACATCGGTAAGCGGGGACTGTTGCATACAAATATTATAAAACATGTAAAACTGTACAAGCACACACATTTCAAGACTACTAGGTTGGCTAATTATGCATTTGCTTATACCCTTCTCTCAACAAGAAATCACAAGATTACAAAAGAAAGACAAGAGTAAAGCAAGAGTATATATGCACTCTTCTTTGAGACATTAATGTTCGCAGCCATGACTCATAAGGTACAAGGTTTACTACTGGCAATATGTTTTCGTGTGTACAGTGGTGGTGGTGGTATTCATGGATTTTCTTTCTCTATTACATCATATACACATGCATGCTGGAAAAGCTGCCCCGCTGCACACACACACAACCTCAGTCAGGACTCCTTTGATTGCAACTATCATAACTGAGGCAGCTGAACAGCAATGTACTGCAGTATCACCACACCTTGACTGCAGTATTACTAGGAAGGTCCACCACATCAACCGCCTCAACAGAGTTCTCAACGACCTCTGCATACAGATTGTAGAGAATGATGGTCCCAACAGGGAGGGCAGGTTGTACCCATGTGGCGCACACCTCTGAGTTGAAGCCGACTCTAACGACCACCAACCTCGGTTCACTAGGACCTTTATACATAGAAGAGAGTTTTATGCATCAATATTATACGCAGTTAAAAGAAGAGGAAAGTTAGCAAAATTGACAGATGAATAGACAGACAGACAGACAGACAGACAGACAGATAGTCAGTCAGTCAGTCAGGCAGGGAGGCAGTCAGAAACACAGACTAAAGAAGAGACAGAGAGACAGTCACAGACAAAGAAGAGACAGACAGATCAGACAGGCAGAAAGAAACATAGAAACATGCCTGCTTCAAGTGTGGTGACTGACAGTGATGATGAGTAGCTGATAGACAGAGAACTAGAGCTCTTTCTCCCAATTCTAAAGTAGTAGCTTGTCAAGGGAGACAGCTCCCGGATGGTGTAATTCAGGCGTGTCACTTCTCCAAGAGTCGAGTAGGAGTAGTAATAGGCTGACCTTCGGTACTGCACGACATAGGCACTGAGTGGGAACCCACCGTCACAGTCGAGTGGGTCCCAGCAATTTGAACCCATCTGGAGCTCCTTTGGATCAGCCGAGGTGCTCCCATCGATGGCTGAGAGGCTGCATGTATGTTGTAAGACAGTGAATTTACCAACATCAAGTAGAATCTTCATGGGGATTTGGTACAAATTACATGCTTGTCCCAAGCATACAAATTAACAGAGCAAGAATTCACAAAAATCATACAAACAAATAATTTGTGGAGTATGTATGTACGTTGTGCATAGTCTATGTAAGTATTACACAGCCCCGATTGTTCCTGTATACTTATCATTAGGACTCATTTGTCATAGAGGCTCTTGCCGGTAGTGTTTTGACTCACATCCATAAATAAGAGTGAAGTTTCTACTTGAACGACTGCCATCTGGATAGGTTCCAATGCACGTGTATACTCCTCCATCACATATATTGAGGCGGCGACGGTTTGACCGAGGCTGTTCCTATCTGCAGCACAGCAGTCCCTGGGAGGCATGATATGGTTACTCTGTATTATACATATAGAGACTACACACACGAGATTGTGTGTAGATGGAATAACTAGACGATGGTTGCTCTTTTTTTACAATTTCGACAGCTGAGCATGGACACACACACATGTGATGATTGTGTGAGAATAAACTAAATACTGCAATCCCTGTAAAGTAGCATGAATGTGAGAACACTTACAAACCTGACACAGAACAACTACAGAAGTGCCTTTTTATGTAAAATCAGGGCATATCCTAATCTAAGTAGTTATGTGTTGTAAACTCATTTTTGATCTTCAGTTTCCGACAAAACCCCAAAACTTTGTGTAACCCACTGTGAAGGACTGTGTGGGAGAGTATAAGTAGGAACAGCAGTAACGCAGCCCTCACCACTATTCATCCCTTGAGTGTAGACTAGAGTGTTGGAATTCCTCACCCCTTGTATATAGTTCCTTTTACCACACCCCCTAATTTACGTGCCACACCAACTAATTAATGACGTAATATGCATTAGAAACGTGTGAAACACATGGACGGATGTCGCAATCGCACATTACGCTCGTGAGACGCATGCGCAGACGTGAAGTGGGCGGGGATAATGCGAGGAAAATACTCAAGCTATCTCAGAACTGCGAACTATTGTCAGAGAGGACTGCTATTTTGGGACAAGGCCCAAACTACCGGGACTGTCCCGGCCATTCCGGGACGGTTGGCAAAATGAGACATGCAACTATGAGACAGTGGCATGACGAGCCTTTGTAGCAGTACACAAAATTCTCACCATTGACAAAATGGGCTGCACGGAAGCCACTGTTTGAGATGCCAATGCGACTTCCATTGGCAAACCTCCACTCATAGGCTGCATTCGGTGTATTAGAGCCACATAGGACATTATAGCCAATACTGATAGGAGTAGGCTCTGAGAACTTCAATTCCATCTCCCCACCTTCCAAATACCTGGAAGAGCTGCACATAGCCTGCATAACATGGGCAAAGACACTTGTACAAATGAAAAGCACTAAAGTGAAAACCTTCAGCAAACTGTGACATGCTCAGTACCGCTAATTGATGGGCTGGGCTATTATTATGCGTGTACTCATGGTCTCCTGTTATTAGCTCGCGGAGAGTCTAACACGGGGTAGCGACAGTAGTAGATAGCATGTGGGAGTCGATGCACGCCCTTCGTTGTGACTTCTTATGCCTTCAAGATACACAGAGCGAGCGGACCCAGTTGAGGTAGGCAGGTGCTAATTAGCATAATATTGGCTAGTTGACTTGGTTTTCACGCCATAACTCTTGAACGAAGTGCTTTTACGACAATCACCAAATTTGAAATCAAGAGAGTGTAGTGGGAAACCTGTTGGTGTTGCCTTTTGGCCGGTTTGTGGCAGGAAACGTGGTAATAGACACACACACAGACAGACACACAGACCAGGTATATAGCTACTACAAGCTCCCATGGTTAAATCCAGTCAGGCTCAGGCTCCCTGGAACCCTCGTTGCGCATGCATACCGAGGGTTAATAGGTACTGTGTACATAGCAGGTATAATTATACTTGGGAAAGACCATGTACTGTTGCTATGTATATAATTGTTCCTATACCAGAGCATAATCATCTCCCGTACTCAATTACATAAGATTGCACTCCACCTCTACACTCTGCTTCGGTTCCCAGTTTAACTGACTCACTGGCATTTGGCATGGTGACCTGTAGCCGTACACTCATAGGCCCATCTCCCACTGTGTACATGAGTATACTGAAGAGGTAGGTTGCCGACTCCTCCAGGTTAGTCACGATATAGGCCCGGTTTAGTGCCCCGGGGATATCAATAATGGTTTGGTTCCCGTCAATTTTGTCCACAAAGAGCTTGAAGCCCCTGAGGTCGCCATTAATGCCGACAGTGGTGGATGGAGGCTGCCAGGTGACCTCCACTACTGTGCTGTTGACTACTGTGACATGGAAAGCACTTATTGCAATGGTTGGAGCTGATGGGAAAAACAGAGAGGAAAGAATATTGTTACTGACACCAGTCAACATAAAATGTGTACAGAGCTTCAAAATGAATGTGTAATGACTTACGGCTCTCTTTTGTCAGGGCATAGACAGAGTCACTGGGTTCTCCATAGAAGTAACTGTAACAATTGCCTCCTCTGTAGCTGCTGAAAGTTATCGCAGCACTGATGTTGACAGTGTAGTTCTGGTTCAACACAAGTCTTGACAGCGTCCACTCAGAGGTGCTACTTCTCACATAGGTCAGCTGTGTGCGACCTCCGACTGCACCGTACATTATCCCTGTACCTCTGTACATCTCTCAAGGGCTGTTATGCGGAGATAAGACAAACCCTTCATAAATCGTGTGCGTCTTTTCCAAATCCCCTTTATCACTTTAGCCCATAAATTCAAGTGTTTTACGTACTGAAGGTAGCACAGTGCCACATGGGGTAATTCACCAACAGTAAACGCCTAACTCTATGGGTGGCTAGAATTTACTGAATGCCAGTATATAACTTATTGAACTGTCATGCAGAGGCTGGCCAACTGTCCTAGGAGCTGTGTACTCCAGTTGTGTCAGTCAAGTGTAAATTTGCAGATCATTTAGCACCCTTGACCTGGTGTGCTTGTTCGAATGTCTGGAGAGCATTTTATCATCTCTTGATTGCACACTACGTTCAACAATCGATTTTTCCGTACTATACTTGCGCTGTAGTACAAACTACAAGCTCTAGCACAGTGCATGGTACAAAGTGTGTTTGCAGTAGGAAATAGTTAATGTGCGGAAGTCAATGCTGTGCGCGTAATAATGGTACGAGGGGCGTGATTGAGATAGTCATGTATGAGCTGTATGATCTATCGTGACCACGTTCCGAGTACCATTATCATGCGCACAGCACGTGCTTCCGTACACTAAGTTATTTATTGTATGTGTGTGTGATTCAAAAGGCGGCGACCAGTAAAACCGGTGTTTTGCACGTTCAGAACGGAAGAGAGGACGACAAGCTCGCGGAGCGCCCTTCCAGCATCTGTTTGTGTCAACGTCTGAGTCGAACTCCGTCTACGAAAAGGCCGCCGAGGCCGTCATTCCCGCAAAGCGTACGCTAGGCCGCGGATATAGTAGGGTTCGTGTGATAATAGTACAGTTCCACGTGATATAGTACAGTTCATTCAAAAACTGTTGTGCATGCTGAATATAGCACTGGCGGCGCCTTTGATTTGCCCACGCAAAATACAATAAGTGTGTATAACATTCTCTGGAGTGGAGGTCGTAAGTGTTTAACAAGTATTCAGTGAGTGTTACGTACGTCCCAAGCCACAGTGATACTGTAAGGAGCGACTGCAGTGATCCTTAGTCCTGTCACAAGTGGAGCAACTGCATATGTACAAATAGACAATGAATAGCTGTTCGTAACATTAATTACTCTGATCCGGGGTTTTTTTTTTATAGGAATTACTAAAATAGCTATGTAGCACCTGCTTCACTGTAACCGTAAAATGCCACCTAATTCCTTGCAAATAGTTTTTGTTGTTGGAGCTGCAGAGGAGCCCTAGAGGGAGGGTGCTGCTGTTGATCTAATACCATGAGTACAGGAGGTCATGGCATATGTTAACATAGACCAAAAAGCATAGACCCCTTTTCCACGGGTTCAGGCTAAGCAACACAAGGTGTGACACAATTTTTGTTAGTACTTTTCCTTCATGTGCATAATTTTGTGCATAACACCTAAGGACAACATTCAGCCTGAACTTGTAATTATGCAACCACTAAGATTTAACACGGCCCTGGAGGTTAAATACTGAACACTGCAACCATTAATTTGGCAAGCACAAACGACCTAACCTAATTGTCCATTCGAGCATATTTTATTCGGTAGATCTATCCACTTGCTAATCTAGTGTTGGGCCACTGCAGTACCTGACCTACCAGAAGTTCCAGGGTTACAGATGAGTCCAATACTCTCACTCAAGCTGCAGTCATGAACACCCCACCCTCTGTGAATGCAGTCCTCAAACCTGTCTGCATTCGAACAGTCAATATTATCCAGCAGAATGGGAGCTGTGTCAATGATAGGAAAGAGGGAAATACATTTTGCCATCCACCAAGTCCAACTACTCATGATGTTCTAATTGATAACATTTGTGTAGTCTTGCAGCTCATGCTGGTAAATAGCTACATACACTTACAGTGCTTACACAAGCAGGTGGTTATGTATCTGTATAAGCATACATACTGTGCTGGTGTGTACCTTTGCTAATAATAGCCTTTTCAGTTTCTGATTTTCTGTGTTTACAGTGGATATTGTAACCTAATCTACAATATACCTTAGTGGCAAATATCAATCTTTAATACTATGTCCCTATTATACTTTGGTAGCATAGCTATACTTTTAGTAACGATGAGGCACTAAATAATAACCGAACCTGAGCTTGGGGGAAATGGACTGTTGGCATAGCAAATGGCTCCATCAGTGTAGTTGAGACTCAAACAGGCGACGTCGGCATCGACAGCCCTGAAGTAGTCATCACAGACGTTGCCCCACTGTCCGTCGTGATACACCTGGAGTCTCCCAATGTAGGGCTCTGTCAATGGATTCTGAGACAAGAGTCTCATGGGCAGCGTGGAGGGCGGAACTGCAGCAAGACATACACATAGAGAATGGAACTTGTGTTTCTCTGGACATTATACCCATTTCTCAGCCAGTGTTATTATATGCCCACAAATGCTGATGTACGTACTAGATCTATGATATCCAAATGATATCAAGTCATGTGACTGTCATGTGACAACAATGTCTGTTGAATCTAGGTCCTTAAAAACTCAGTTAGGCTTATTGTTTTTCTAAGACTTGAACTGTAATGGAAAGCTATAAGTATGCAATCTTGGTCTACAGGGGCCTCTTTGAGTGCAGAAAATTATCACAAATTTGCGTAGAATTGGGATTGTAGAGGTACCCTTAGAGTTAGGCTGATTTTGCAGCATGTTTTACCTCGATTGACTGCTTTGGGTACTAGATATATTTGTACAAGCTTCTGTTTTGCAAAGAGCAGTGATAATTAACCCTCGGCGCGCATGCGCAGCGGAGGGTTACAACAGTACTGGGTCTGTCTTGTGTGTCTGTGTGTCTGTCTGTTACTCTTCATCATCTCACTTCTCGAGGAGTGTTCTTTTGGTCTCACAAAGGATACCACCTACCGAACGGGCATGAAGGTCAGAGATTTCGAATGGTTTTCTCTGAAACTGCTCCGTGCAAAGCTAGAGCGCGAAAAGCCAAATGCAAATACACAACGGACGGGATGGCTACCACAGTCGGATCGATCTGCGTGCTCTGCGTACTTCGGAGGCACAAAGATGCAACGCAGGCGTGTATCGCCTCTGGCCTACAATCTAGTAGTGTAGTTAGCCCGCGTTAGACTCTAGCAAGTGGACCACGAGTAACTAAACCCAATTAGTGTACGGCGCATGCGTTACTACGCGTGCGCGTCACAGTGCGCCGAGGGTTTGCACTTCAGTGCTTTTCATTTCATAGGCAACTATATTTACACTGACTGCCTGTTGGTGCACATGTTGGTGGGTTTAAGTGTCTGTGTAAGCATTGGTGTTTTTATGTGTCTTTCGTATGTAAGCATTTTTGTGTCTATGTAAGCATACTCCAGAACCAAGCATTTAACCCTCAGCGTGCATGCACAGCGAGGTTACGTTACTTGGTACGGTACTTCATAAGTGTTGTGTGTCTGACTGTCGGTCTGTCTTTACGTTTCTGCCACCACACACGCAACGGAACAACAAAAACGATATCATGCAAAGGTTCAGCACTAGCTACACTGGCTTGATTTCAAAATTGGCGAATGTCGTAAAAGTACTGCGTTTCAGAGTTAGGGTGTGAAAAGCAAGTGAACAAGCCACTGGGTCCGCTTGATCTGTGTATCTTGGAGGCACAAGAAGTCACAACGAAGGGTGTGTATCAACTCCCGCATGCTATCTACTACTGTAGCTAGCCTGTGTCAGATTCTCCGCGAGCTACTAGCGGGAGACCACGAGTAAACGCACACTTATAGCCCAGCCCATCAATTAGCGGTACCGACGCATGCGTTCGCTGAGGGTTTGCACTTTAGTGCTTTTCATGGAATCGTCATGTCAGTCTGAGACACTAGGTGTTCTAACCTGAGAGAGAGAGCAACCGTGAACCTAAACTTGCATGTCCAAGGTTATCTCTCCATGCATGTATCCAACAACAAATGCCTCATTACGACATATACAGTAGTCACAATTATATGCCAATTGTAGGTGTCTAGTATGTAAGACAGTAAACTAAGCAACTTACTCATATCAGCCGTTGCGATGACGACAGGTTCACTGTATTTCCCCAGCAGTTCGTTATAACTGCACCACTGGTACTCCCCCTCGGCCCTGATGTAGAGAGTGTATGAGGTGTTGAACGATAGACGTGGGAGAGTGTAGTTGAAATTCATCGACGTGTCGGTCACCGGCACCCTAGTGAGATATACAGAAGGATACGTCGCGCCTTCTGTCGTTATGTTCAGTCTGAAGTCGATTGCTTGTATTAGCGGTGGAATAAACTTCAGCTGGAGAAGAAGAAAGCAAACAGTGAGAGAGGGCGATAATGGAAGCAGAGGCAGTTAATTGCAATGACTATTCTTATGTCTTTAGTATTCATTGTGCAATAGACAGACATTATCAATTTAAGACAAACTGTTCCCCCATTGAAAGAATACGTAAGTGTAGGCCTGATCGAAGATTTTTGTGATTAAAATGTAGTGAGTGGCTCAAGTTTTCATGTCAGGCAAAGGGCAAAGGTTGATGCATACCTGCCATCCTACTTTGATACTTCTTGTTGTTCTATTCAGTACTGTTATTTCATACGGTACTGGCATCACAGTTGGGTCTGCAGATTTGGAGAAGAGTATGTTTATTACAAAGTATAAGTTCTAAAAGGTATATAGCAATAAGTCACAGCAATATGTACAGTGAGCACACCTAGAGTGTACTTCTACTAAAACATGCGAGGTTCTGTGTTGGATATTTGATACCTCCATAAAAATGTTGATTGTACAAATTTCAGAACCTTTGCTCTATTATAATGAAATGCACAGAGTTTTGAAGTCCACACAAAACAGACAAAACGAGAGGCACTAAAGTGCCAACCATTTGAGCAGTGCTAGTGCTCTAAGATGAAGGTATTATGCACTATGCATTATCAAAAGCTTTGCAAACTGATGGGCTGGGCCAGATCACAGTGCAGTTGCTAGTGATGACAGTTTCTCGATCTAAACTGGCTAGCAGTATCAGTGACTATTTTTAAATATCGAATGCAGTCATTTTGAAAATAATCATGCTCCTGTCATTATGAGGCGACTTTAGGTCACCTTGTAGCTAATAGCTGCAATCAGACAGACACACACAAATTTCCTCACTATGCTCCAAATAGAACATTGTCCACTAACACTGCACTAGCCAGCCAACTAAAAATGATCTACGATTTCTTTGCATTTGTAGGTAAAAGCTATGTCTATGTCTGAAATTGTTTGCTTTACGCCTGCCTAGTGACCTCGTTGCTGTTTACATTTTCTGAAGTGCACAAACACCTATGCACAAGTGTGCACTCATGTGGTGTCTAGTCATCATAACCACGCACACACCTTGGCAGATGAGGGCAGCGTCACGGCTGTGTATACACGGATTGATATTGTATGGATTGCTGTTCCGACACTGGTCCAGACTGGTGTCGTAGTACCTACAGGCTAGGTTAGTGAGCCACACACTCCCTGTTCCTTCTCCAAATGTGCTTGTAGCAGAGGTGACAGCGCAAATGTAGCCTGTGTAGTTCAGCATCCTGGATGTGAGTGAGAAACAGAGTATAGATTCTGCAACACACATTGTTGCCATTCTTTCACCCATTGACCATGCCAAAAACCTAATTAACCCTCGGCGTGCATGTGAAGCGAAGGTTACAGTACTAGGTCTTTCTGTGAGTCTGTGTGGTCGACACATATTCTGGCACTACAGGCCAGGAGTCGGCCTATAACCGATACCATTGGCTTCAGAACTACGCAAGCCTGAAAAACAAAATAGTGATTTCCCTGAAGAGACTGTGTTCAAGAGATATGCCGTGAAAAAAGCCAATATGTATAATCGCGCTGGCTTACCTTCACCTGAACCGCTTGCTCTGTGTACCCTGCAGACACAAGAAGGCACAACGAAGGGCTTGTGTTGACTCCTGCACACGTAGTTAGCTACATACATAGCTACATACATAGCCTGTGTCAGACTCCGCGAGCTACTTTGAAGTTTCGTAATCAGAGCGTCGGTAGACACTCTATGTAGGGATGGCACGAGCGAAATCTCACATGATCCGTGTACAAAATGCCTCGAAACTCGGGGAGAATGGCTAGCTATGCATTCAAAACACACAAAAAATCGCTCACGGGTCCATTTCTACCTATACATATGCCCAAAAGATTCATATGCACCTTCAGTTCTCCATGCAAGAAGTCGCTCATATGCGATTTCGCCATTTTCGTGTCATCATCTTCTCCTTTTTTTATACCCGATTTCTCCTTACTACAACCAGTTGATGCGCAGAATTTCTCACTAAACAAGTTGTGCGATGCTGGAGGTGTGCATCGTCGTAAAGTCATCTTTGTTTTCTTGCCGCCTATCGCCAAGATAGATTCCTGGCGGGCACTACAGCAGACAGAAAACGACAGCATTTTCATGCGGTTGTCGAAACACAACACCAACTTGTTGCAAGTGTGTGTATGCGATCGTGATCACCGCAAATCTTTTGCAGTGCATAAATCTCCACCCACACGTGCGTGAACCCTAATGCATGCAGCCCCTTGCTCGCCGCTCTGCACCGTGAAAAGAGTGGGGCTGAGCATGTGCTAAAAAGTGTAACAAAATAAGTGCAAAAATCATTTCTTCAAAATGAAGGGGGATATAGGGATGGCGTAAATTATGAAAAAGGACACAAACAAGAAATATGCTTCAGCTGAAAACAAAAATCATACATCCATCCCTGCATTTTTCAACCTCAACTGTGATTTGTTATGAATTAGTTTAGCTACGCCAATAATGAGTACCTATATATTATAAGTTATGTACTACGTGCGAGGGACATGCATAACATGTTTAGTGCATCCCGAACTAGCTCGCTCAAGCCACCTAGTCTGTTTCCATGGCACACACAATTCAAAAACCCATCACACTGCATCGAGTCGAGTTTGCGTGAAAAATGGAGCTAGAAGACTTGCTCACTTGCGCAGAACTACAGTTCTGTGCGAACAGCGAGAACGAAGTGCAGGTGCAAGAACTAGACGAGGGGTATAAGAGCTATGAACCAAGCGGTGAACTGCAAGCGGCTACTACCATCAACCCTCCACGACTCCAGCCGGCACTCGACCTTCCAACGCATGACCCCACCCAAAACAGTTCTGCTCCGCCTCCGCCAGAACCGCCGTCTGCAAACCAGCCCAACCCCCACAAGCATTTCGCACCTTCCGTCATTGATGAAGCAGTACAATGAAGGCGCTCTGACTCCATTCCGCTAAGTACTGCAGCAGAAACTAAGTACTGCACTAGAGTTTGGCTGGAATGGAGCACCAACCGTGCTTAAACCCACCATACTGAAGTTCCACCACTAACCTCCATTTGACCTTCTCAGTTTTGCAACTGGCTCATACGATTTGTGTGCTAGGGGTGCACAAAAAGGACAAAGCAGAATATCCACCTCAGACTCTTCACCACCTCTGTAGCGGGCTACTGAGGTGTTTGCGTCAAAACGGGCACCCAACACTCGACATCTTCAAGGACAGTTTGTTCACGGAGTTCTGTTAGACGCTTGATGCACACAAGGGTCTTGGGTCTACGAAGAGGCAAGCGGAGCCGCTGACTGAGGAGGAAGAGGAGGTCCTATGGGAGAAGGGATTGCTTGCAGACCACAGTCCACAGGCACTGCTAAACATTATGGTTTACATGAACGGCGTCTATTTCACGTTGCGTAGTGGAGAAGAGCACAGAGAATTGAGGTTGAATTCCTCCCAGATCTCCCTCATAGACCGTGATGGAGAGCGACCGTTCCTTCAGTACACCGAGGACGAATCGAAGAGGGCTGAAAGGGTGTCAAATTGGACGCAAGGTCGTGAAACATCATGCCAACATCTCTAATCCATCTCGCTGCTTTGTGCGGCTCTACTCCCTTTACAAAAGTCGCTGTCCTTCCACTCCTAAGCGCAACTCTTTTTACCTTCAGTGTCTCAAAAAGCCAACTGACACACAATGGTTTTCCAACGAACCCCTTGGACATAACACACTCTCTAAAGTTGTTTCGTCCATGTGCAGAGTGGCAGGGATTGCAGGCTTTCGTACAAATCACTGTGCAACTCGTCTCTATGCCGCTGGAGCAGAAGAGCAGCTGATAATGGAGCGCACAGGTCATCGCAGTATTGAGGGAGTTCGCTCGTACAAACGCACATCAGAGCAGCAGGAACAGTCTGTGTCAGACACCCTTAGCCTTTCCAAAAGGCCAAAAACAGCACCTCCTACTACCTCCAGTGAACCTACACCTGCGTTAACTGCAGTAACCGACCACTATCCTCATATCGCCCAAGCTACTTCTAAAACCATGGTTATGACTGCTTCTATGCCAGCATCATTTAGCTTCAACTCATGCCAATCCTTATAATCAACTTCAACAAAATTAAAAAGCCTTGTGATGATTTAGGTATGTACACTATCCACCCACATCCACCTAAAACAAAAATCATTTTTTAGCTATCACTCATCATCAGGAGCCGTCTTCTACTGTAATACATGTTCAACATGAAAAATAACAAATGTGGTTGTTCTTGAAAACAAGGTTTCATATCAGAGCAGCAGGAACAGTCTGTGTCAGACACCCTTAGCCTTTCCAAAAGGCCAAAAACAGCACTTCCTATATACTACCTCCAGTGAACCTACACCTGCGTTAACTGCAATAACCAACCACCATCCTCACATCGCCCAAGCCAAACACCAGTGGTTATGACTGCTTCTATGCCAGCATCATTTAGCTTCAACTCATGCCAATCCATTATAATCAACTGTGATGATTTACGTATGTACACTATCCACCCACATCCACCTAAAACAAAAATCATTTTTAGCTATCACTTATCATCAGGAGCCGTCTTCTACTGTAATACATGTTCAACATGAAAAATAACAAATGAAAACAAGGTTTCATGCAAAAAAACAAGGTTTCATATCATGTTTTCATGTTACTTTTGTTAGCTCACGAGGTTCATAATTATGAGAAATCAGGAACCTCGTACTAACAAATCTAATTGGTCAATTCGAATCAGCTATCCACTAAACATTAATAGACAGAGCAAAAGAAAGAAAAATGTAGGGATGGATGTATGATGTTTGTTTTCAGCTGAAGCATATTTCTTTTTGGTATCCTTTTTCATAATTTACGCCATCCCTACATCCCCCTTCATTTTCAAGAAATGATTTTTCCATTTCTTATCATTCACCCATTATAATCTCCGTACAACACTGCTTCATACACTCGTGAATACTGCCATATCTATCTGACTACACTTGAAAACTACTGAAAATACATTAGATACTGGGAATACTGGAGTAAAGACAAACTTATTACGGAGCTTACGGCACCATTATTCTGCCCCATATATAGTGAACAAAGTTTCCCATGTTGTTGATGCCTGCTTGCACTAAGATGTCATGCACTTTGCGTGAAATAGCCTTTTGTCATGGATAAGATTATTGTAGCGAACATACCCACAGATGACATTTGCATCATAGCTGCTCCAGCTGTTTTCACAGATAGTGCCCCAGCGTCCATAATAATTGACTTCAACCCGACCCATGTGACTACCATAGGAGTTGGCAGCAAGACGAACTCCCTGGTTCTCTAAACAAAGGCAAAAAAATACTGAGTGCCCGATGGGTATGTACTGCAAAAGGTCTGAATGGAAAGTAAACACGTCTAATAAGTCTTTTAATTTATTATACCACAGTCCAGTGTCTTGGTACTTTGTCAATGGTCCTAATGCTAAGGCTGCCATTTTTAACTCCATGCCACATTTATTTCATCTTTTCGTAGTGCAAGTGACACAATCTAGGCTTTCCGAGGCTACTTTTTGCGATTGTGGAGCTAATTAGCTATGTTTATAGTGAGAGCAAGGCACTCGGTCTGCAGGGCAGTGCAGGCATGGTGACATGTCTGCAGGACAGTGCAGGCACTGTGACATGTCAGACAGGCCCTCGCATGTTGTAAGCGAGCATTATTTATAGCGAAGATGGGTTGTTCAGGCTGCTCTGTGCTAGAGACCCATCAATCTGCTACATACTGATACTGAAAGTGGCGTATATAGTTATAAGCGTGCACCCATAGTAGTGTAAGCGATCAGTGATGCAAGCATTGTGCAATAACGCGTAACAACTTAGAATGTGTGCCAAAACAAACACAGCTACAAATACAATACAGACCTTATCTTATCTTTTTGCGGCTAAACACTTACTGGTCCCACGTGTATAGCTATATAGAAGCCCACCGCAGCGTATCGGCAGACTGCATGGCATTTCACGTTAGGTGCATCATGCGCTTTGACCCCCAACGTTGCACACACAAAATAGCTAATGGCTACGTGATCACTAGCTACCTCTGTCTCTTTTGTGTATCTGCGTTACTAGCTACCTACGCATTATAAAACAACTGTCACCCACCGCGGAGTGTCGGCGGACAGTATCGCACTTCACGTTAGGTCCATCCTGCGCTTAGATCCACAACGCTGCACACACAAAATAGCTAATGGATAAGTGATCATTATCTACCTCCCTCTCTTTTGTCCGTTACTACCTACGCATTCCATAAAACAACTCAGTGGCGTCACCCACGGGGAATCGTTTGCGCTAGTCTAGGTTTCTCACTCACGTTGAGCCGAGATAACGGCAAGGAGAGTAAGTGCAGCCACTGGCAACAGCGGCAACCTCGCAGCTTTTTGCACCGCCATAGCAGCACCAGGTAAACGACTGATGAAATGCGAGACTGCGCAAACATGCGCGTTTACGCGCTGTGCGCGTTGCGCGGAAGGAAACGTCTGAATATAGACCGAAGGCATACTTGCCAACTGTCACGATTTTTGCGTGAAAGTAACGCTTTATAACTGTTTGTCCCGCCTGCACGCTTCGGCACTACTTTTTCACGGTGCGAAGCTTTGATCGACGGGGGATGTGGCACGCACGCGCTCGTCGCCCAAAGGACGTGCGCCGCTGCGTTCACCAGTCACCAAGCATCTCTGCTGCTAAGCGAGCACGCTTTGTGCACTAATAGGTTATAATTCTCTATGTCATGTTTTTTCAGCCACATGATCTCTGCAACAGAGGACACACCTCTTGTAATTAACCACGTGGTGGCTACTGTTGGGTTTCTTTTTCGTACAATATCATTTTTGTACCACAATTTGAAGGATAACAGGTTGGTACGTATGTGATTTTGATCAACTGTTTCATATCTCATAATACCCTCCCACACCCTATACCCACACCCATATCCCACACTCTTTTTTAATCCGCAGGATTTTTTATTTACTTGTCTCCTCTCATGCTTGAGCACTGAGTCTTTGCGCACGCCTATAACCGCGCCCATAATAATATTCGTCACGTGACAACAGGTCAACTCCATCAGCGCATGCTCGTGCGAGCCCATGCGGAAACAGTGGTGCGCGGAATAGGAGCAGGGACTAGCCATTATTCACAGATGGGCGTGCCGCACCAGTTTTAACCCTTTAACGAGTGCGCAACTCTGTGTCGCCAGTTCGCCTGGCGCCTGGAGCTTTTGCTTGAACGCGGTGGTAAGGATAATACATAGAAGAGCAGTTGGTGTGTTCAGCGATAGCTTTGTAAACAGAAGAGCATGTTTAGCACGTAGTCTTGTGTGTTGTCTTCTTGCATTTTGCTGGTATATATACTAATGTGACGTGACCCATATCTATCTATAATTATATATAATTATACTTATGGCTGGTATGCTATGAACTATAATTTCATGAACAACACTACACATCTTCAGTTTTATCGTCATTTTGTTTAAAATTTAAAACAAACACCACAGCGTGTTGTTTCATGACTAATGAGGTGCCGTCTGGTTTAGTCACTTCATACTCAATCTAGATCTTACTTTAGTCTGTTTTTTAGTTTTGAAGAAGCATGGGTTTTTTCAGAATTTTGGTTTGGGGCGATTTTTTTTTTTGGACTTTTCTTTGCCATTATTGCAGATGTGAGGTGTTTTGATGCAACGTTTCATGTGTCAATACTTTGACAGTTTCTTGTTAATTCGTTCAACTTTTGATGAAGCCCTTGATGTACTTTTGCAAGTTCACTATCTTTAAGATCCTGCAGTATACTTGAGAAATACTCCAAATTAGTGGTATCCCTTTCAGTTATATTACCTATTGGGAGCTTTGTTGCTGACCTATGGCGCTTGTTTATTTCAGATATTCTGTGAATAAACTTTGCCTTCTCGACTTTGGTTAGCTGGTCAAAAACTCTGTTTTTAGAAAAACCAAGAGCTAATGGAAATCATGTTGTTTTCCAGTTGACAAACGTCTACTGAAGTCTGAAAAGTATTACAAAAGTGTGAAATTATTGACTCAGTCCCTACAGCTTTGAGATTGCAAAATAGCTTCAGATGGTAGTGGTTTAGGCCTAACCTGCTGGCAAACTTTGCATTTAGGTCAATGGTGCGAACAATCGCAGTCAAATAAAGGCTTGCTGGTTGAACAGCAAATGTAGAGTAGTTCTTGCAAAGCACATATTCCCATCGTTTCTAAATCCAGGAGGAAAGAGCATCTATGCAGTTCGGTTCGCGTTCGAGACGAGTGAGACCTGCAGCAGCAGCTGTGCGTATGCGCGTGCGTGGGAGCTCCGCCCACCTCCTCCCCTCAGCTAGCAAGCTAGCTAGAGACCCCCGGGCCCTGGCGCGCCCACACCCCCACCCGCGCGCGGGGATTTTTGGGTGGATAACCATTATATATATTAACCTTTGGCCTGCTCCATGCTGTTAACCCCGTTTAATCTACTATATTAATCCCAGGTTAGTGTGTGATGGAACTATACTTCTTTACCGTCTTGGGCGAGAACAAGAGTAACAACTCGAGCCACCTGAAGAAACGAGCCCAAGCATTTTTATGGTAAATGGGGAGGATTGTATACACCGAAAAAATGAACAGTATGTAAATCTGTACAAAAATCGATCTACAGTACTTCCCTACACGTGATGAGGCTGCGGTATTTGTTTGACCTATCAATGACAAGAATGTAGCTAACAGATCTCTTGGCGTTTGAATGTAAACCAGGTATGCCGAACTTGACCATCTACCCAGCATTTCAATGTGTTGAGTCATTTAGGCCACATGTGTTGGCTGTCGCAGCTGCCCCGATTCTAACGAATGGCCAGCGATTGCTTTGGGGTCAAGCCCTGCAGCACCTAAGGCATCCCGGACTGAGGTTTAGTTAGGAGCTTGCCATCCTGGAATTTAAACAGGAACCCCAGTCCATTGCCCCTTACGGCTAAGTACGCCAATACGGCTGCGACTGGACACAGCTTGTTGTTGGTTCTCCCAACCACTACGTCTATGCCCTTACGGAATGGGTCCGTCTTTGAAGCCTTTAACCGAAGCTTCAGGAGGGTAGGGTTAGTAGTATCGTCAACATTGATGTCCTCGAACATGATGTAAGTAGCCGGATCGAAAGCAGAGTCGGACAGGACTGTCACCTCTCCTGAGCGTAAAAAACCGAAAAAGTATAGAGTTACTGCAGCCCAGAGCATGACGTGGTCTTGAGATAGTCCATGGGTCTCCCATACTCCTCCGATCGCCATGATCATGTTGGGGTAATGGGAAGTCGTGTGCGCTTTACTGATAGGCTTCTTGCCTGAGTTGACTTGATATACCCATAACTACTCCTTCCAACTTTGGCATACCAGCAATACCTGGATTTGGAAGGCCGGATGCTATTTGCAAGTGAGGATTTGCTGAGAGGTAGCCCTTTATCGTTGAGTGTGACAAGTTTTCTTTGGCTAGCTGAGCTGCAAACTGACACAGTTGGTGCTCTGATACCAGCAGGGGTGTGAATCTAAAACATGTGCAGAATTGTAAGTAGCGTTGTTGTGCTGATGCATACGTACGACAAGAGGCTGGTGCTAGTGCCGACTGAAAATAGCTGTCCACAGCTTCGTCCAGTGAGGTGAGATCCAGTCTGGCTGAGCAGTTACTAGCAGCTCTACTAAATCCTGGGATACTATCGCTGGAGAGGCTTGGGCCTGACGATAATGTGATAAAAAGTAGGATCTGTTATTTCGAGATAAAGCATCCGCTAAGTCATTATGAATGCCTTTTATATGGGCTGCAGACACCACAAAATTATATTTGGCCACGATAAAGGTAAGACAGCGCATAAGATGCATCAGGGAGTTCTCCCTGCTTGAGCCTAATTTGACTGAAAACTTAAAATAGCGGTCCACAGCTTACTGCTGTAGATAGGGTGATTAGCCCGCGTAGAAATGAGCATCCTTGCCGAATTGCATGTTGTATGTAGCCGATAGGTGAGAGCTATATGGTTTCTCTTCTTGCCTGCCTTTCGACCTTCCCACTCAGACAGCAATTGCTGCAGTTGCTCCAGTTTATCTGCCGGTAGCCGAATTTCCATGTTTTCTGAGTCAAGTTCCATGCCTTGGAATGTGATAGTTGAGGAAGGACCTTCGCCATTACCCTCCTCTAGTGAATGATACCCTCCAATGTTCGCAATGGGACGAGCGCAGAGGCCCCAGGGTAAATTATCTAAGTAGTGAAACACTGGGCTCACTCCCTTCTTTTCCATGATCCACTGGAGAGCGTCGGCTAAAGCTGTTAATATGAGAGACGCCGACTGCAGCCTGAACGGAAGGACTTTGTCCACAAGTAGCTAGCCCCTCCAACTGAACACCCAGGAGGTGACGGTCCTCTGGGTGGACCGGGACTATCCGATAGGCCTGCTTAATATCCACTTTTGCCATAAATGCACCACGACCGATGCGCAGGATTCCATCCACTATTTGGTCGGTCGTTAACCCTCGGCGCGCATGCGCAGCGAGGGTTACAGTAGTTGGGTTTGTCTGTCTGTCTGTCTGTCTGTTACTCTTCATCTCACTTCTCGAGTGTTCTTTCGTCTCACAAAGGATACCACCTACGGAACGGGCAATGAAGGTCAGAAATTTTGAACGGTTTTCCTTATTTACTACTGTAGCTAGCCCGTGCCAGACTCTCCGCGAGCTACTAGCGGGATACCACGAGTAAAGGCATAAAAAGCCCAGCCCATCAATTACTGGTACCGCACATGCGCAGTTCGCTGAGGGTTTGCACTTTAGTGCTTTTCATTATATAGCAAATGCTGCACATGTCTCTGTATATGCCATTGTTCACACTGACATTCATGGGAGACGACAATGAGGCACCATTTACCCGGTTTTGCTTTGTTTGGGATAACCCCAAATGGGCTTATGTGGCAGTGAAAGTGAGGGACATGTGCTGGAGGAATGACTACCATGCGGTTGAGGAGTAGCTCCTGCTCTAAGTAGTCGGAGACAACATCCAGGTGCTGAAGGGCCGAGGCCATGTTGCTTCCACAGCTTGTCAGTGTCTTTAAACGATCATAGCTAACTCGAAAGCCTAGCTTTACACCATTCACCACGTATGATGCGAAGAATCTGTCTGCACTGAGTGACATTCCCGTGAAGCATCGGGCATGGATACTGCTGTCAATCTTAGATCAGTCTGTTTTACCAGCGTCGGCTGCCTCTTGGCGGAAGTATTGGTCATATATCCAGGATGGCCATAGGCGAATACATGAAGAGCGTCTAGGCTCTTTCTGGGTGCTTGGTCACCAGCACTGCCGTGTAGCTAGATGGAGATACATTGCGCCCACGTTGCCAGGTCGGGAATCCCGAATGTGCTGCTTGGACTGCACGTAGTCTGCCGCTTGGAGCAGCACAATTTTGCCCTCCACGTCGCTGGACAGTGCTGACGGGGATTTGCCAAATCCCTTAGTAGGGGGGAACTCCCTAGGTCCACAAATATTCCTGCTAAGGTTAATTCCACAAGGGAGCGTTTCAGGGCTGGGACGCCGAGGGCCACTACGATCATGTCTGAGGCCATTGCACTGCTACTTGGTGCCAAAAGGGGGACGGCCTGGTCTGTCATTGCGAACACCCCTGCTAAGACAATCGGCAGGGATGTGGAGGCTGATACGGCTGTTGTTGACAGCGGCTCGGCTGTGTGGCCCCCGAAATGAAGAGCGATGCCGAGGAACCCGTTACTGGGCAGTTTCTCAGCCCCAGGCTTCCTAAGATGTTGCTTGGAGGCATGTTGATCCTTCTACTGTTGTCCCTGTAGGGTGGCCGTGAGACAGAGTCCATAGCCTGTGGGCCTCTAGCCTCTAGTTGGCACTACCCTGCTAGGGCGTGGCTAGAACAGGGTGCAGCTGTATGGGCCCACATGGAAAAAGCCTTGCTCACCGAGCTTTGTATAATGGTCAAGTTTTAACAGCAGAGACACTGGACCAGGTGTCCTCTTGCCCGGGTTAGAGTTATGCGGGTTTGCAGAACCCGCCTCCACCCCTGAGGTGTTGCCGCATTCTGATGCTGTTGGTCCAGCAGCACCCCTAATTAGAGCTTGGACCTGGGCATGGATGTTGTGGGTGTGACCAGCACTGCCCTCGTTTGACTGGCACCACCCCATAGAGGGGAGCTTGATCCTGGGCATGAGTCTGCCCTATGGAGGCGAGGTTTGGCCCGGGCATGAGGTTGGCCAGCACTGCCCTATACGGAGGAGCTTGTTCCTGGGCCTGAGTCTGTTGCTGATTGAACCGCCATATTTCTGCTTTGTGTTTCAAACGCTCCGTATTTTCACACATTCTGCTCGTGCACTACCAGATATAACGTACTCGGAATGCGTCTCGAGGCCTAATAAAGCACTCAGCTGCGCCTCGTAGCCTCTGTACGCATTCCTCGTACGTTTGTGCAATCGCGTGGGTATATACACTAGTAGGCGAATGCATGGCATTTTTGGCGAGCGGGAGCGAGCACACAATGACTGTATCTGCATTAGCCATCCCCTATTTACAACTTGAACCTTAGAACCACGAAGATTGGAAAGAGGTATATACAGCTTCGGTCTGGTATTGAAAGCGTGTAAAGAATATGCGCGTTCCCTACCGCACAAGCGTCTCTGCTAAGGAGTCTCACTGACACGATGTTCTCTTTCCCTCTCTCTTCGACGCATCCTCTCAAGACTGATGCGAGAGTACGGAGCTACACACACGTCAGGCAGCATGTGAAATTTTGAAATCATTTCGGATAAAAAGAAGCGCGTAATCCTGGAACATGCGCACTTACACGACGTACGCGGTCGGTCGTATAAAAAATCGCGCCGTTTGGACCACTAGGTTAGCTCGCTCCCGCTCGCCAATTAACTAATACTGAACAGACTTATTAATTGAAATGCTTGGCATACTTTGGGCAAGGGGAGCGAGCCTTAAGTGTATATAGTGTAGCGCAAGTATATACAACCATCATCATTACTAGCGATAATAATAACTACCTACCTGGGAGGAGACAAGGGGGGTGAGGGAGGGAGAGAGGGAGGGATGGACGAGAGTGAGATGGTGGGAGGAGACAAGGGGGGTGAGGGAGGGAGAGAGGGAGCTCTCGATCTCGTAATAGTCACTGAAAACGATGAGCCTCTCGGTCATGAGGACTTTCGATGGCCCGGCGTTCTGTCTGTCTACCTCTTCGAACAGAAGCAGTATCGTTGCACTGAACCCCTGGCCCAAAATTAGTTTAAGTGCGTAATATCGGCACATGCGCATAACTAGAATGGACGGTGGGTCAAAATTTCTATCCGAAGGAACGACTATAGTCTAGGTGCATTTCATAATGAGCCAAATTATATACTTCATTTCGGCCTCAAAGGTGCTGTAATACACCTCCAACTCTCGCATGCTTGGTTTAGCTAACCATGTCAGCTAGTCAGAAAGAGAGGAAGAGGGAGTCTTTGCGACTGAGATTATGTATCTTCCAAGTCTCCTCAATAAGTCAGCCTAGCCCTGAATCCAGGCCCTCTCTTTTATATAAGCTTATAGATATGGTGGACGCATACTGTCGCAAAAGGCTAATGTGAGTAACAGTGCAGCGATGTCGTTTGCTAGGGAGTTTGTAAGTCAGTGGGCAAACAAGAAGAAGAAGAAGAAGAAGAAGGTCTCTAGGCTATTGCTAGGTCTCTAGACTATTGCTAATTGCTAGTGATTTTGAAGGCATGGTGAGTCATTCTCGCTGAGTTTTGAGGTGTTTTGTATGCGGATCACGTGAGATCTCACCTGGAGAAAGAGTGTACTGATGCTCTGGTGATTCTGGCAAGCCAGGGAAAGAGAGGAGAAAGGAGAAGAAGTGAACAGAGAAGATCATGATCATGATTATCGTGGTTTGTAACATGATGCACAAGGAGGACTGGTGGATCATCACAACCACCTGGTGGTGTCATGTACCATTCTGTGCCTTAATTAAACTCACAACTACTATGACAAAATTAGAAGAATCTCCTCGGAATATTCTGCAACTAGCATAAAAACTCCTTCTATAGCATGGACACTCCCACAGGGCATGCATGACGAGCATACTAACACTCATTATGGCACGATAAGAACTTATTCTCTTTTCCATACAACTCCTCGTTTGGGTTCTTTGCCTGAACAATGGTGTGCATCACCTTTCGAGCTACACATTGTTATGGTAACGGGTTGGTTACTCAGTAGCATGACTTTTTTTGTATTTTCAAGCTGTATATTGTAATGTTGAATGTGTGGAATTGTGTGATGGGGTCGCGTGCCAGTGTCCTCAAATCTGTTATTTACTCCCCTCATTTTTATAATTATACTACTATCTCTGCATGAAAAATGCATGTTGTTGTCATGGAAATGATGTAATATGCATGCATACCAATTTTCATCTCCATGTGTGCTGCTGTTAGCAAGTTTGAGGAGTGAAGAAGTAAATGCCTGAAGCTCATTGTTGCCGTTCAAATGAAAAGCACTGAAGTGCAAACCCTCGGCGAACTGTGCACGCGCGGTACCACTAATTGATGGGCTGGGCTTTTAGTATGCGTTTACTCGTGGTATCCACGCTAGTAGCTCGCTCCATTAAGTATACAAAGTTTCATTCACAGCCCTCACCATTTGTGAGTTGCACTGACACATGAGATCCTATTATAATGTATTGCCTGGGGCTAATTGTTGTTGTTATTGTTAACACAAAATTATTTAAAGGTGTCACAAGCTTATCTCAAAACCAAGCTAGGTATAACTATATGTGAGGAATAAACTATAATCCACAGCAGGGGGTGTAAAACCAACATCAAATAGTGTTGCCTATAGCTCTCTTATACAGGCATCAAAACCGGTTGGTAAATAGCTAACAACAATGTACGTTGCAAAATGTAAGAAAGAGCTAACAGATGGTAGCTGTGGATGTGAGCTCTATTATAAATTTTCAGTTGGCAAGATCATCATAGTGTAATGATTGAAAATAGCAGTAATATATTGTTCTTGAGTACAGTCCAAAAGAGTTCATTATCAAAAATGTACAGGTATAGTAGTAAGGTCCCCAGAATCACAGCTTGTCATCTTCTGCCATTACAGCACTGTTGCGAGAGCTGTAGGAAAGGAGAATTGATAGTGGTGGAGTGAAGATGTGTGCAGTACAGTCATGAACCCCACACTTCTGTCTTAGTGAAGTGTATTGGACACTGCAAAAGGTAGACTCTGGACTAGACCATGGACTGGACAATGGAGAGACTATATAATTATTATGTACTGAAGATATGCTCATTAATAGTGTAGGAGTAGAAAGGTAGAAGGAAACTTCTCAGGACTGCCTTGAGCAGTCTATAGTCTTGGCCATTCATCAGAGAAAATGCGATGGCTATAATTATTATACACGATTCTAGCTGAAGGAGATCACTGTGTCCTTCACTCTATATAATATCCCTGACACCTGGCCAGAACATTGCAGGACCCGCCGTAAGACTAGAGCCACTTTGGGGTAGTCCAAGTGTTTATTATGACAATTCGTTGTGTCTGGTTTACCGATGTCCCTAACAATTGCCTGTTTCATTGGTGTGGTTGCACAAGAATGAAGCTAGGAATGCCTAGAGAGGCTGCTCCTTGCAACACTGATGATGACTCCACTGGCTCCTGAAATACTTCGAGACCACCAAAAGCCGACTTGTATTTTGTACAACTGACCCAGTCCATGGTCCAGTCCCGAGTCTACCATGGGCATAGAGTTTTCCCAGGAATAGTACATCGGACTCTAGAACGTCCCAAAACCAGAAAAGCACCGAGATATAATGCATTAGAAAGCAAACACTCCTTGCATATATAATTATTAGTGTCGGTAGACACTCTATATAGGGATGACACGGGTAAAATCTGACGTGGTCCGTGTACAAAATGCTTCAAAACCTACCGAGAATCACCTGCTAGCTATGCCTTAAAAATACGTTGGCAATAGTATACAGGCCCAACGGGTTTATACTTAACTTCAGTCCACCCCACGAGAATTCGCTCAGATGCAAAGCACTAAAGTACAAACTCTCGGCGCAAAATGTGCACGTTGTAGCATTGCTGTATGCTTGGCCATGCGTCGTCTATGGAGCCAGTAACATGAGTCTAGCTGTAACACAGGCTAGATCTAGTTGCATCAGAGGGCTTAGCAGTTAGAACAATTGCTCAGGTGTTTCAGAGGTTCTCACATTTGCTTTATCAATCTATCCGCTCTTCTGGGTTTTAATGCATTGCCAGACTCTGCTTTGGAAGGAATGGCCACATCCACAAACTGCTCGTCTCACGTGAACTGTTATGCTATATTGCGGACATGCCTTGCTCAACTTGTTATCATTTGGAACAAAGAAAAGAGTGATTGAAACTGACAGAGGAGAGACAAGACTTGCCCATATATACCGTCGATCCTATTCAACTACATGGCGTATTCGCATACTCCGGCGAGAAACTGAACATGACGCGTGCGCACCAGTGTAGCCAAACGGCAAGGGCGCGTGCGTGATTGCATCGCACGTTGGCTTTTTCGCTTGTTTTCACGCCATATCTCTGGAACACAGTGGTTTCAGGAAATCGCCACATTAATGTGCATGTTCTCATTGTTCAAAAGCTGTTGGTTCCACTCATTGGCCACCTCGTAGCCTGTAGTGCGAGAACTTGCGAGGACAGACAGACCAAGTACAGTAACCCTCGCTGCGCTGAGGGTTAATAAGTTCAAGAAAACATATACCACTGACTAAACCCAGTGCATAATAATGCAAGCTTGTTGAAATTTGCCTAGCTGACTACAGGCGGGTCCCAGTCACTATAAAGTAGGAATAAATGAGGCAACTGTCCCAGCTACGTTTGAATTCAGCATTAATTCCCCTCAGCCCTAGCTAGCCTTGTAATTATTCTGTAAGTACAAATCATTGTGAGACACCTTCCCTTGCAAGATCAACTTACCGTCCAGGCTCATTCACCAGCTCATTAAACTCACTTTGACTTTTGTATCTGCACCAAAATATGGGAACACATCAAATTTCACAATGGATCAATTACTCAGAACTGTCGTTTGGGAAAGTACGACTTGCATTAGTGAGGCATCAACACTCCATTATAGCTCTTGTACGGTACAACCTGATTTAGGTGATTGTGCTTCACTACATTCAAAGAGAATTGGAGCAAGGGTAGAAGTATAATATGTAGAGAGAGCAATGATTAAGTACTACAGAGGATTGAGAAAACGCAAAACTTACGACTGTTTCCTGTACTTCCAGCACAAGAAAAAAACAATGATGATAATCAGTGTAGCGAGCAAACCGGCAATCACGCCACCTAGAAGAATCCCTGCAACTTGACCGGTGGTAGCCCCAGCACCTCCATTATCGTCACCAGTTTGTCTCTCAGATCTGCGGGTCCTTAGGGTCAATGCCAGGTTTCGTTGGGGGGGTTATGGGTTGGGTGGTAGAGTCTTCAGTAGATGGCTTGCTGGTGTCGCTAGTAACAGGCTTGTTTGTTGTCTCATGTGTTGTAGTATTGTCAGTTGTCACAGTACTACCACCAGTTGTCACAGTAGTACCATCTGTTGGTGTCTGAGCCACCTGGCAGTCTGGGCCATGGATGTTCTCAAGAGTAGGATCACAGGTGGGATCCAAATAGTACCGCAGTCTGTCTATCTGGACTGAGCCTTTGTTGGTCTGGACCCAGGCTCCCATGATGGCCACCATCTCAGTTGCACTCCGTGAGGAAGTCCCCGTGATCCTGGCTCTGTAGGTGACGGTGTTGGGTGGGCCTGTTCGGCAACTGAACTCTCCCTGGCTCAGCTGGGGCTGACACTGGCAGAGTAGCAACATACTCTGCTGTAGAGACTTCTGTATCTGGCTCAGCTTGCCCTCTGTATCTTCAGCCTGAGAACATGAGGCATTCAACATGGCTTCATGGCTTTCTTTATCAGTGACCAGACAAAAGTTAATGCGCACTATAGTTATAGCCCAACTTCATGTTATCCATGGCCTTTACTACGAAGGCAATAGCACTATCGGAATAAGGGGAATAAAATTGTCACGTTGCACAAAAGTTTGAGCTGACTCTCTTCCTTCCTACAACCATTCGTCCTTTAAGTTCCCTTGTGTTGTGATAATATTAGTACATCAAGTCCAGCGTGCAATTTTTTTCTTCATTTCCCATGCCCCACCTATGTGTTAGTGCGTGTGGTGCAGATACACTCTCAAACTGACTAGATTGCTATATGATACCTGCATTTAATAGTAGCCTTAATTATTGGATAAACATCCTTTGCAGGGCTCTAAAAATAAAAAATAAAAGTATAACTCTGAGGTGCATTATACTTACGGGTTTCACAATTTGAGCTAGAGTATGAAGCTAATGAATGTGCTTGATCAGTACACGGAAAGTAGAGATTGTCGGGAAGGCATATTTGGCATCTTATGATAGATTCAGAGAATGTGTATACTTACCACCCACTGCTCACAGTTGGCATTGCTTGTCTGGATGCGCACTTGAAAGTAAGCCAGCTTTCCTGGATGTTAATGACAAACAATCAATGCACAGTAGAAGAATATGTGCAGCAAGTAACACAGTGAGAAAGGCTAGCTACATCAATAATTATTTTTAATTTCATAGAATCTGATCATAATGTCATACACCCACAAGTATAGTATGCACATACTACTCACACACATTCTGACTGTATATACTTCCTGTTGTACAGACATGGGGTACTCATTGACTGATAAGCAATCTCCATTGCATACACACAGATATTATAGTGTCTGTCAGCCTGTCTATATACCATTGACATGCACTCACATGAACCACAATGGTATAGCTAGTATGCACACACTGACACACTAAACTACAGACATGGGTGTACTCAGTGACTGTTAAATAATACACATCTGCCTACATTCGATATGCAGATTTTAGTGTCTGTCTACATTCCATTGTGATTGGCAAGCGAGAACAAGCTAACCTAGTGGTCTGAACAGCGCAATTTTTCTAATATATACATGTCACCGTACGTCATCCAGCATTTTAATTACGCGTTTATTTTTCTCCGGAATGTTGCTACCTAGCTTTATCCTCGATGCACATCCAGCCAGTGAGCCATTCGACAGCATTCGCTGCGCTCTTCGGTGCCTGACCGAGGCTGTGCCTCTTTCCAATCTTCGTGGTTCGAAGTTACAAATTGTAAAGAGGCTAGAATGGCTCGTGCAGATGCAATCAATGTGTGCTCACTCCAGCTTGCCAATAATGCCCTGCATTCACCTACTAGTATTGATGTGCACTCACATGAACCACAAAGGTAAAATATGCACACACTCACACACTAAACTACAGACATGGGTGTACTCAGTGACTGATAAGTATACACATCTACCTTCATTCCATTGTATACTCAGATTTTAGTGTCTAAACTAGGGTAACAGTGAATCACGAAAAACCAAGTGTGACTGTCCCTTGATGTGCATTGATGAATTATAGTACAGGGAAGCAAACCCACACGTTACCTAAGTGATTCAATATACAACTTTTCTTGCACAAATTCACATAAGCTTTAATGAATATTCACTATCTACAAACTCTACACACTCTCTTACATCCAACCACAATTCTATTGCACAGATTGGGTGAAAAGGTTTCACATGCATAGTGATGGAGAGTTTCAACCCAAAGGGAGTTGGGAGGCTAGCATTTGCACAAGCACTTTGCCCCATGTATTGACGGTCACATGAAAAGGTGGTTGTTACTCCTGCTTTAGGGTACATATATTATGCATACCTCCAGTTTCACTGCTGGTGGTGACAGTACTAGTGACCTCCGTTCCACTCTGGCCATCCTCTGTAACTACGCTAACTCTGAATACGTAAGCAGTGGAGGGAGTGAGGGGAGAGAAGATGATGGTAGTGTTATCTGTTGTCTTCCATCCCTGCTCCCGGAAACTGGTGAACACCCCACTGGGGGAAATCCACTCCACCATACCAGAGTAAGAAACCTTTGAAGATAAAGTATCGGAAATGTTTATTATAACCCTGTCTGCCCTTTGGGGGTGGATTCATGCTGAGTATTCACTATTACCTCAGTATAATATTTACCTAACCCTGTATGAGCTGTGCCTGTGTATGCAAATGCACATAGGCATGAAAACTTACGTTGTAGAATGTGTTCTCATCCAGCTGAAGGTCTTCGGGCAGTTCCCACTGCAGTGTAACACTTGTGTTAGTTGAGGAGGCACGGACATTAACCGGCTGAGGTAGACCTGCACATAATTACAATACTACTAAGGCTACTGTATAGCAAGAGTCATACACGCAGCTTGCTTACAAGAGTGATACACAAGAATGAAGAATAATAGTGTGAGCCAGAGTACATACATCGCCCGGCGGCCACTTGCTCAACAATAGGATTTTATTACCAGAGTGAAAATGTGACCCTATTTGCAGTTTGAGGTGTGTATATAATTATATTGCATGTGTGAAAGGTCCTGGCAAAACTGCTCTGTGCCAACGATGTTGTGGTGTGTTAGGAAAGATAGCAAGGCTACAAAAGGAGTAGGATGTTCATGCCCACACAGGGATGTCCGCTGGTGTGAGGCATATATGCACATTCCACATATTTGTGTAATTAGTACCACCACTTGCATGATGGTTGGTATAATACATTAAGTTGCCTTCTGCAGTTTGGTTGAAAGAACTGTTCTAGTTATACTGACATGATGATGCAAAATACACACACTTCTAGACTATGAGGCAATTGTCGGTGAACAAAAAAATCTATTTTTTTCAGAAAGTGGACCGTTTTGCCTCTTTAACAGTTGTTGCAGTTGTTCTAGTATTGTCAGTTGTCACAGTACTATATACCATCTGTTGGTGTTTCAGCCACCGGGCAGTCTGGGCCATGGATGTTCTCAAGAGTAGGATCACAGGTGGGGTCCAAATAGTACCGCAGTCTGTCTATCTGGACTGAGCCTTTGTTGGTCTGGACCCAGGCTCCCATGATGGCCACCACCTCAGTTGCACTCCGTGAGGAAGTCCCCGTTATCCTGGCTCTGTAGGTGACGGTGTTGGGTGGGCCTGTTCGGCAACTGAACTCTCCCTGGCTCAGCTGGGGCTGACACTGGCAGAGTAGCAACATACTCTGCTGTAGGGACTTCTGTATCTGGCTCAGCTTGCCCTCTGTATCTTCAGCCTGAGAACATGAGGCATTCAACATGGCTTCATGGCTTTCTTTATCAGTGACCAGACAAAAGTTAATGCGCACTATAGTTATAGCCCCACTTCATGTTATCCATGGAATAAAACTATACTCTACCTTTACTACGAAGGATAAAATACAATAGCACTATCGGAATAATGGGAATAAAATTGTCACGTTGCACAAAAGTTTGAGCTGAATCTATTCCTTCCTACAACCATTCGTGCTTTAAGTTCCCTTGTGTTGTGATAATTAGTATATACGTACATCAAGTCCAGCTTGCAATTTTAATTTTCATTTCCCCATACCTCGCCTATGTTTTAGTGCGTGTGGCACAGATGCACTCTCAATCTGAGTAGATTGCTATGAGTATATCGCCTTTTTCGCTTGTTTTCACAGCATATCTCTCAAATGCAGTCGTTTCAGGAAAATCGGACATTTTCATTTTTAAAGGGTTTGCATAGGTTATAGGCCGCCTCGTAGCCTGTAGTGCGAGAATGGCTGACCACAATCAGACAGACACACCAAGTACTGTAACCCTCGCTGCACATGTGCACCGAGTGTTAATCTGTACCTGCATTTAATAGTAGCCTTAAGTTGGAAAAACATCCTTTGCAGGGCTCTCAAAATTTGAGATGCTTTTAAAAAAAGCTGTAGGGCTCTGAGGTTCATTATTCTTACGGGTTTCACAATCTGAGCTAGAGTATAAAGCTAATGCATGTGCTTCATCAGTACACGGAAAGTAGAGAGTGTCTGGATGACACATTCAGGGAATGTGTATACTTACCACCCACTGCTCACAGTTGGCATTGCCTGTCTGGATGCGCACTTGAAAGTAAGCCAGCTTTCCTGGATGTTAATGACAAAACAATCAATGCACAGTAGAAGAATATGTGCAGCAAGTAACACAGTGAGAAAGGCTAGCTACATCAATAATTATTTTTAATTTCATAGAATCTGATCATAATGTCATACACCCACAAGTATAGTATGCACATACTACTCACACACATTCTGACTGTATATACTTCCTGTTGTACAGACATGGGGTACTCATTGACTGATAAGCAATCTCCATTGCATACACACAGATATTATAGTGTCTGTCAGCCTGTCTATATACCATTGACATGCACTCACATGAACCACAATGGTATAGCTAGTATGCACACACTGACACACTAAACTACAGACATGGGTGTACTCAGTGACTGTTAAATAATACACATCTACCTACATTCGATATGCAGATTTTAGTGTCTGTCTACATTCCATTGTGATTGGCAAGCGAGAACAAGCTAACCTAGTGGTCTGAACAGCGCAATTTTTCTAATATATACATGTCACCGTACGTCATCCAGCATTTTAATTACGCGTTTATTTTTCTCCGGAATGTTGCTACCTAGCTTTATCCTCGATGCACATCCAGCCAGTGAGCCATTCGACAGCATTCGCTGCGCTCTTCGGTGCCTGACCGAGGCTGTGCCTCTTTCCAATCTTCGTGGTTCGAAGTTACAAATTGTAAAGAGGCTAGAATGGCTCGTGCAGATGCAATCAATGTGTGCTCACTCCAGCTTGCCAATAATGCCCTGCATTCACCTACTAGTATTGATGTGCACTCACATGAACCACAAAGGTAAAATATGCACACACTCACACACTAAACTACAGACATGGGTGTACTCAGTGACTGATAAGTATACACATCTACCTTCATTCCATTGTATACTCAGATTTTAGTGTCTAAACTAGGGTAACAGTGAATCACGAAAAACCAAGTGTGACTGTCCCTTGATGTGCATTGATGAATTATAGTACAGGGAAGCAAACCCACACGTTACCTAAGTGATTCAATATACAACTTTTCTTGCACAAATTCACATAAGCTTTAATGAATATTCACTATCTACAAACTCTACACACTCTCTTACATCCAACCACAATTCTATTGCACAGATTGGGTGAAAAGGTTTCACATGCATAGTGATGGAGAGTTTCAACCCAAAGGGAGTTGGGAGGCTAGCATTTGCACAAGCACTTTGCCCCATGTATTGACGGTCACATGAAAAGGTGGTTGTTACTCCTGCTTTAGGGTACATATATTATGCATACCTCCAGTTTCACTGCTGGTGGTGACAGTACTAGTGACCTCCGTTCCACTCTGGCCATCCTCTGTAACTACGCTAACTCCGAATACGTACGCAGTGGAGGGAGTGAGGGGAGAGAAGATGACGGTAGTGTTATCTGTTGTCTTCCATCCCTGCTCCGGAAACTGGTGAACACCCCACTGGGGGAAATCCACTCCACCATACCAGAGTAAGAAACCTTTGAAGATAAAGTTCGGATGTTTAAACCCGCTGCCTTTGGGGGGGATTCAATATAGAAGTGTTTATAAAACGCAGAATCTGTCTCCCTTTGGGGGTGGATTCATGCTGAGTATTCACTATTACCTCAGTATAATATTTACCTAACCCTGTATGAGCTGTGCCTGTGTATGCAAATGCACATAGGCATGAAAACTTACGTTGTAGAATGTGTTCTCATCCAGCTGAAGGTCTTCGGGCAGTTCCCACTGCAGTGTAACACTTGTGTTAGTTGAGGAGGCACGGACATTCACCGGCTGAGGTAGACCTGCACACATTTACAATACTTCTAAGGCTCTAGCTTACTGTATAGCAAGAGCGATACACACAGCTTACTTGCAAGAGCGATACACAAGAATGTAAGATAATAGTGTGAGCCAGGGTACATACATCACCCGGCGGCCACAAAAGGATTTTATTATTTTTTGGAGTGAAAATGTCAAACTACTTGCTGTTTGGGGTGTGCATATGTGAGGGGGCATGGGAAAAGGGACCTATATGGCTGGAATGTGAAAATTAAGTTTTTGTTGTTTTTCACCCTGTTTTTCACATTCCAGCCAAATAGGTCCCTTTTCCCATGCCCTTCACTAAATATGTACATGTGTGAAAGGTGCTGGCAAACTGCTCTGTGCCAACGACGTTGTGCGTGTTAGGAAAGATAGCAAGGCTACAAACTGAGTACAGGGACCTGAAAGAGTAGGAGGTTCATGTGGACACATGGATGTCCACTGGCATGAGGCATAGATACACATTCCACAAAGTTTGAATTCTTCTAATAATGCCTACATGGGTGATGCTTTTAGAACTGGCACAAGGCCAAATTTAAAGTAACATTGATAATTAACACCTAGACTTATGGGAAAGCACTCTTTACTCCTACCTGCCAACCAAAACTGCATAATCGAAGGATCCCCATATTTTATTGTACACGCAGTGGTCATTACATAATTATAATGCAGTTGCTGCTAGTCAAGAATCTGAGCTCTCCTAGTGACCAGCAAGATGGTTACATCAGACATACGACTAGGCTAATGACACTGAGACAGTGGACCTGTCCCTGAAAATGAGCTCTGAGTAAAGTTCTGTGCGGTGCCAAATTTAAACAGGGCAGTGGTATATACTGCACTAGTTCTCTGCTATACATAATAATATACGTAATATCAGGCTTCTATTGGATTTGTGACCCTGATATGCACAGCTGCTGTCTCCTACTAATATGCTAATACCGGTTGTATGTAGAAGATGTGATATTTTTAGAAGTGCTTAAGACAGAAAGGAAATGCCGATTTATGTAGTTGCAGCTAACCATTTGAGGTCGGTTAAAATTTCCAAGAGGCAATACCACAGTCATTAAACCCTTTTGGTGCCATTTACATATATATATATATATGCACAGAGCCTCCATAAGTGCATAAGAATTTATATAATACTAGGCGCTAATATGTTATACATCAATTTCTGCTAATTTAAGGAGACACCTATGGCGCCCAATGAGTTAAACATGATAATCCTCATAAGTGCCTATACACCCACACACATACCCGTAGCGCCTCATATATACACAGTACACATGTCACCCTCTACCAACAAATCATTTCAGTCACAAAGAGGCTCAATTACCTGGCTCAGGTACAAAGAGAGTAGTCTGTGGGGAGTAGGGAGAGAGGGCGCCCTCTACTCTGCGTCCGTTGATAATAACCACTGCACTCATCTGGAAGTGGTAGATGACTCCTGTCACACTCAGCCTCATGCACCCTGACCTCTGGCTCCCAGGAAATGACTGCAGGAAAAAGCACACAAGTCCAAACCCTCAGCGCAAGAAATGCACACACGTAGCGTTTATGTGCACTTAATGCATGAACTTTTAATAATTGATGGGCCAGGCTACACCACGCCACATGGTTGACAGTAGCCAGTTTTCGTCTGTGGTGTAATGTAGCTGCATCAGTGAGTATCCATGCACTAAGGGTGGTTTCATGATTTCATTTTCGGTTTTCCCTATGCAGAGACACAAGGCTTATAGTATACTTCCTGTGGGCTGGCTACCTATACATAGGAGGGTAGTCAAGGACACAAAGGAAATCCTCATGTACACTGTACTTCCTTGGGATGTCCCTCTCGTTGTATCCAACATTCCCGCTTACCATATAGGACATCTGGTAAGCGGGAATGTTGCATACAATATATATCATATGTACAGAGCACACACACATTTCAAGACTACTAGGTTGGCATTATGCTTTGATACCCTTCTCTCAACAAGAATCACAAGATTACAAAAGCAAGGCAAGAGTAAAGCAAGAGTATATATGCACTCTTCTTTGAGACATTAATGTTCGCAGCCATGACTCATAAGGTACAAGGTTTGCTACTGGCAATATGTTTTCGTGTGTACAGTGGTGGTGGTGGTATTCATGGATTTTCTTTCTCTATTACATCATATACACATGCATGCTGGAAAAGCTGCCCCGCTGCACACACACACAACCTCTGTCAGGACTCCTTTGATTGCAACTATCATAACTGAGGCAGCTGAACAGCAATGTACTGCAGTATCACCGCACCTTGACTGCAGTATTACTTGGAAGGTCCACCACATCAACCGCCTCAACAGAGTTCTCAACGACCTCTGCATACAGATTGTAGAGAATGATGGTCCCAACAGGGAGGGCAGGTTGTACCCATGTGGCGCACACCTCTGAGTTGAAGCCCACTCTAACGACCACCGACCTTGGTTCACTAGGACCTTTATACATAGAAGAGAGTTTTATGCATCAATATTATACGCAGTTAAAAGAAGAGGAAAGTTAGAAAAATTGACAGATGACTAGACAGACAGACAGACAGACAGAATAATCAGTCAGTTAGTCAGATGGACAGACAGTCAGAAACACAGACTAAGAAGAGACAGAGAGACAGTTACAGACAAAGAAGAGACAAACAGACAGACAGGCAGAAAGAAACATAGAAACATGCCTGCTTCAAGTGTGGTGACTGACAGTGATGATGAGTAGCTGATAGACAGAGAACTAGAGCTCTTTCTCCCAATTCTAAAGTTGTAGCTTGTCAAGGGAGACAGCTCCCGGATGGTGTAATTCAGGCGTGTCACTTCTCCAAGAGTCGTGTAGGAGTAGTAATAGGCTGACCTTCGGTACTGCACGACATAGGCACTGAGTGGGAACCCACCATCACAGTCGAGTGGGTCCCAGCCAATTTGAACCCATCTGGAGCTCCTTTGGATCAGCCGAGGTGTTCCAATCGATGGCTGAGAGGCTGCATGTATGTTGTAAGACAATGAATTTACCAACATCAAGTAGAATTTCAAGGGGATTTAGGTAAAATTACATGGCATAGAAATTAACAGAGCAAGAATTCACAAAATGTCATACAAACTAATAATTTGTGGAGTATGTATGTATGTACGTTGTGCATAGTCTATGTAAGTATTACACAGCCCGATTGTTCCTGTATACTTATCATTAGGACTCATTTGTCATAGAGGCTCCTGCCGGTAGTGTTTTGACTCACATCCATAAATAAGAGTGAAGTTTCTACTTAAACGACTGCCGTCAGGATAGGTTCCAATGCACGTGTATACTCCTCCATCACATATATTCAGGCGGCGAGGGTTTGACCGAGGCTGTTCCTATCTGCAGCACAGCAGTCCCTGGGAGGCAGATTATGGTTACTCTGTAATTATTACAGCTGTAGATAGACACACACACATGAGATTGTGTGTAGATGGAATCACTCTATGATTGCTCTTTTGTTACCAAAGTTTCACACCTGAGCATGGACACACACATGGGTTTGTGTGTCAATCACTGTAATGTTGTGAGAACACTTACAAACCTGAACATGGAACAACTACATGAAGTGCCTTCTTTATGTAAAATTTCAGGCGTATCCTAATCTATGTAGTTATGTAGTTGTAACACTCATTTTTTTATCTTCAGTTTCGGACAAAACCCCAAAATTTGTGTAACCCACTGTGAAGGACTGTTTGGGAGAGTAC